CGGCACCGCCAACAATGGCGGACGGCGTCGCCGCCACACATACCCGTCCGGTATGTGTGGCGGCGACGCCCGGTACACACATGCCTACCAATCCTAATATATCTGTCGTGGATTTTTCCCCTTAGTAGATTAAATATATAGGAGGCAAGACTAAGGTCCCTTCTGACTCTAAGCTCGTTATATCCGACCATGCCCAAGACGAACAGTGTCGGATACATGAGTGGGTAAAATGGGTAAACCCCGTACAGTCGCAAATATAAAAACCTCACAAATTTGTTTTGGACTCGCTCCAGCATGAGACTATATTTAATCTCATGCGGAGACCAGATAACTGCGTTGTATTCTAGCTGACTACGCACTAAAGCATTGTATAGAGTAACTATGGCTTTAATGTTGGTAAACGACTGAACAGTGCGCAGTACAAAACCTAGATTCCTGTATGCTTTTTTACAGCACTTGACTATGTGGTCACGAAACGTTAGCTCTGTGTTAAGACTTATACCTAGATCCCTAACTGTTTGGACCCTAACCATCGAGACCCCATCAACATTATAACAATGTAAGTTGGGATTACGGGCACGAGAAAAAGTAATGGTGACACATTTATTGGGGTTAAATTGCAAACGATTTTCCTTGCTCCAAGTCACAACATTGTCTATGTCCTGCTGCAGACGCCTACAATCATCGTCATCGTTCACAGCGAGAGACAGTTTAAGATCATCTGCAAACAGCAAACAATTTGCGTGTTTTACTCGCTTTGGCAGATCGTTTATCATTAATATAAATTGCAGAGGTCCCAAATTACTGCCTTGACTCACACCAGACCAGGTAAAATATGGTTGCGAGGTGTATCCCGCATAGTCCACATACTGCTCCCGGTCCATCATGTAACTGCTGAAGAACTGTAGTAAATGGGGAGTAAAACCGACGCCTGCTAGCTTCTTAAGCAGCACGTCATTATCGACTAAATCGAATGCTTTCTTGAAATCAAAGTAAGCAGTATTAATAATACGGAGAATAGAGAGAAGGAAAACTTGACCGCAAGAGTTGCGGTTTTTGGTCGGTTCGAGTCCGACATTACCATCCGACCGATGGGTGGTATCCGAGGGGATTTCCGCACAGAAAAAAAAAGGTGACTCGAATGCTATATTAGACATCATCAAAGGTGATACTAACCTGAAAACAAAAGACAATCTGTCTTCGAATGGATATTTCCATTCGAAGTTTTGTAAAAGTAAAGAAGGGCAGACATCAAGAGAAAAAGACGGTTGCCTCATTCTTTGAATGGACGGGTCATTTCGCAACAATTATTCTAGAAGATATAAGGAATGTTACTGCAGAGTAGTATTTCAGTCTTTGTCTACCAGTTTTCTTGGAAAATGTTAAATAGCGCTGCTAGAGAACAGAAACAGAATCCTACCACGACAGCGCCCCAGCTCACTCCGCCAGACGGACAATCGAATATTTGTCTATCGAAGGTGTGGAGCTAGTGTACTATCCTCCTTATAGTCTTGTGACTTGTATGTATTTATTACCAAGTCTTACCTTGTGACTTGTATTTATTACCAAAAATAATAGATAATCTTAGAGGAATTCGTTTTAAGAACCATTTTCTTTTGTTTTTCTGCTTCTGCTAGCGTGACAGATGCCCTCACCTGTCACCCCCAGGCCTGCGCTTATGGAAAACGAGGTCGTTCTGCGACCTCCGGCGCTTGAATCGTCGGCGGTACCTGGCCCGTTTCCGAGCCTGGCGGGCCGGGAGAGTTCTAAACCTCTCCTGGTCCCGCTCCGCCATCTCCTTCGCAAGCATAACTTGCTCGCAGTAGGACACGGCATAGTTCCACGCACTCTCGCTCCGCACCATGGCCCCAATTATGTTATCGAGCGAGAGAACTCTCACTCCGATGGCCGCTACGAGGTCACATTCAGCCAGCGTGTGGAGCGCCGTGTCCAGGGTCCGGGCATCGCAGTGGTGGCACACAGGCGTTGGCTCCTTGCGGATCAGACATCGGTGATCCCCGAAGCATCCTTTCGGTATCATAAGCAAAGTATCGGATCCCGCTCCAGTGTCTCCAGCAACTCGCGGCGGGCCTCACTCTTGGCCGCTTTATTGCTGCCTGAAGGGTCCACTTTGCAACCTTGTATTCCGCTAACAGCTCCGCTTCTCTCGCTGCTGCTTCTTTGGGGCAGCGACGCCTTCTGCGGCACCTGGACCACTAATAAACTCACACTAGGTCCTCTTAAGTAAAAATGTTTATCTGCTTTGAGCTTAAACACCCTTAATAATCAGCTACAGGTAACTCAACTACCTATAGTTAGTCATTAGGTATTTTGTCAACCACCTGTCACAGAAATACCATGAGTAAATGAAAGTTTTCTTATGTTCTCTAATACGCAACTTACAACAAGCTGTCGTTCTTTTATCATTGCAATAACTAATAGGGTATCACGATTACTTGTTGACTTGAGCGATAAGAAGAATACAAAGGGGCAAAATATCTTATGGTGTTTCTGTAGTGCCTACTTGATTCACTTATAAATTAATTATCTATCTGGACATGAATTTCCACTCACGAATATGTTTATTGTTAGAAACAAAGTACTAATCTAATGCTTTTGATTAACCTATTCAAGTGTCCATCACGTTCGATTTATGACGAAATAAAGACTTTTCACGTGGTCAGCATATGTTTACAAGAACACTAATAAATAAAAATACACTTTAATATCATTAAAAGACTGTAGATTACCTCAAATACATAGAATATAATTATGTTTGTTTCAATTACATCAACCTTTGCTTTGCCTTAACATTTTGACAATTAGCACATTCATTACACATTATTATGATTATAATGTGTGACATCAGATTTTATGTATCTATCAATAAATGAATAGTCAATTAAACCCTCGCCTGTATTTTGAAAATTATTTCTATACAGAGTAATATTTCTATAAATGTTAATTTTCTTGGTTAATTTAAGTTTGTTTATATAAATATTTGAAAAATATATTATTACGAATAAAATATAATATCGTTTTAGTTATTTAAATTTGCTCCAATCACTATAATTATATACAATTACATTTTCAAACTTCATTACTCTTCTTCTACTCTTAGGTGATAATTTAACATTACTTATTTTTTTATTATTTATTTTACGATCAAAAAACATACATAGATTAGAGTTTAAGAAGCTACATTACCTGACAAACGTGACCGAGCCGGCCAGTTCCAGCACGTGGCCGTGTCACCTTATGATCAAAACAAAATACAGTTTCAAAATAGTTCACCACGAGTGTAGCATTCCTATTATTCACTCAGCGCTCACTACTCAACCTGGGCATTCTAAATAAATTCTAATAAAGGCATTTAATTTATCAATAGAATGTTAGCACTGTTGTGCCGCCGTTGCCGGTAGAGCAACTGTAAGCCTACAGTATTTACTGTTAAAGGTGAGTCGCCAATCTAGACTAGTTGACTGTCTGTGGTGTGTAATTTTCTTATCAAAGAGAAATTAATTCATTTTAAATGCACTGTTATCGACATTTACGATACTTACCAAACAACAGAGGAAGAGCCAAGTATACCCATTTATGGTTATTTTAATTCTAATGACTTACGGTGGTCTTTATTTTCACTTGTAAAATCTGATCAATAGTCCCGATTCATTGATGTTTTTTTTCAAGAAATGTGTCCCAAAATATTATTTTGCAAAAATTGACTCCTTTTTGTCAGACGAATGTCTTTCAATTTCATCAACTTACTGACCAGTCTATACATAATAGCTAAAAATTATGTTTTGGAGTAACTTTTTACCATATTTTTTGTTACATTGTGTCTCTTTGCAGTTTCTTATTCCAACCAAGTTCTGGATTCCTTAATTAAGAAATCTAAGTTTGCCAAAAGTCGTCTCCCCAATTTTCTAATTCATTGATAAAACATTGTGTGGTTCAAAAGTTCAATGTCTAGATTATTTTACAGGTAATAATTTTCTTTTGAACTTAAAAAATAGGGTAGTTTATTCAAATAATTATTATGATCAAAATTACTGTATGTCATGTACTGTATTTCTTGGTGAGAAACTCACCAACAACAGAACACGTAGCTAAAGTCAGATGATTACGGATGCGAGAAAGTCAGCCAGGCTTATTTTAGCAGCTTTCTAAGAGGCAAGGACAATGATATTTATTTCCTTATTCAGTATATTTGCAAAATTCGTATCTCCTATTTGTAAATTTACATATTTTTTTTAAGTTTCCCTAGATAACAGTATTTTAAGAGTTTTATGTTTATGAATAATTAAAATAAAAACATACATTCGGTTAATACTAGAACATATGCCTCTACTCCCGAAAGGGCAGCCAAGGGTGTATTGACTAACAAAAACCCACGAAAGAAACGGTTTTTCGTGACCGTATAATATTGTATCAATATAATAAAGTTATACTATTTATGTATACTATACAACAGTGCTCGAAATATTTTCATGGCAAAAAAGATCAGTAATTGACTTAATACCTAAGGCACTCTCTACCGGGCGACCATTACGTGAAGCAGAAAAAACAGGAAGTAAGTAGGTGCATTTTGCCTAAGTTAATTTTAAACAAACAATATTTTAGGAATGCGTGCTGTTACAATATCACATATATGTATACACATAATTACACCTACACACATTATACATAAGTACATACATTACAATACATAAATACTGCAAAATATACAAATACATACATACATACGTATATACAAAATCATGAGCTAGTGATTCTGCCAGTTGTTTGACCAGATATGCTTCACGTTTGCTTTAAAAGAAAAAGTGTTGGTGGCCATCCTGATTTCCAGAGGAAGCATACTCCAAAAAAAACGGAGTGAACAAAAAAGGATGAACCAACAAACTCTGACGTATGGGAGGGACAACGAAGAAGAAGTTTTTTGTAGCACCGAAAGCTACTGTCATGATTACTACATAAAAGAACATATAAAATACCACACCATGGAGCACGGGGACCCTAACCCCGCTCCAGATAGAGAGACGTGCGCGGAATACTTCGCGCTACCGTTTCAGGTCTGTTTCTGGGCGAATTACGGTCAGCCTGAACCATTACCTCCAGGCACGCGCTCATGCAGGTAAAAGATCGTTTTGCGCTCTCCGCCATTGGTGGGTCTACTTCGAGACGACAAGTGTTTGTCCTCTTCCGTTCACCTTCCACCGTCTCTTTGGCCAACATCATCTACTTGGCAAATGAGACAGCGGAGCACTCACTTTGTATAATGGACAGAACCATCTTTAGAGACACGCTATCTACACCAAAACTGTAGCGAGACACTCCACTAAATCCACCTTTTTACATATTTTTTTGTGCATAAAGTATTAAATAAATAAAGTGTGTAACAGCCTCCGCAGTGGTGGCAAGCGAGACAGTGCAGCCGCTGTTCTCAAAAGCTTAAGGGTCAAATTTTGGAAGGGATATCCGAAATCCCATAGACTATCGAGTATAAGCCTAGTATCTAGTGTTTCATCGAAGACATCGAGCCACCCATCCTTCCGTCAATTCCAACACCTCCCACGGTAATATTGGATCCTGCTAGTGGTCTCTTAAGAGGTCAATGAAAACCACACTTCCCTGGCCTTTCTTCTCACAGATACGAGAGCGGTGTCATCGTCATAGCAAGTGAGGACGACACCGCCCAAGAGCACTCCACGAAGCACCCAATGTTCCACAAGGGTGGGTCTAAGACCCGACACGGGTAGATAACGATTCTCTCGGACCAATATGCCGCGACAATGCAGCGGAGGTACAAAGGCGCTCTGTGAAAATCAAGCGCCTCTCTTATGCAGCTCCAAAGCAAGGTATTAAGGGCAAATAAAACGCATAAGATATATTACGAAAGATCTTTTGTTTTGGTTTATTAATGTTAATTTTAGATGTGATTTTTCTCGTTAGTGCATCTAAATAATATAAATTTTAATGTTGATTCATTTGGAACTTATTAATTAATATATGAGTATGATGAATTAATTTTCGAAAAAATTTAAGTTTACACAACCAATCAAAGAAGAGTAAGCAAACGTTCATTCATGTAACTTTTAGGTGAAGCTTGAAAATGATGGGTAAATTTCTTTTGGGAACTTGATGACAAATATTTTATAATATATATTTTAGGACAATGATTTGGTAAAACCTATTTAATTATCACTCTTTTTAATGTAAATTTTCCACTCGTATTATTATGAACCGTCACGCAGTGTTCTATGATTTTTATCAATAGCAGTGACGACAGGTTAACTTTATAATTGATGGATACTTAACATTATGATAAGTAAACAGTATAAAAGAAGTTAAACAAACTTATTATTTATAAAACAAAAGCATTGAATGTACTATTGACACCTTTGCCTGAAATTATTAATTATATTAAAAAAATGATACGTGGAATAAAGTCATATTAATAAAGGAAAAATAGATTGACGTAGAAGATATTTTTATTACGTTAAAAAGTGAGTAAGATGTAATTCCAATTTTATAATTAACCAATTTGCTGTAATCCTGCCTAAGAAAAGAGGGCGTCGTCCCGGTGTGGTGAGAGGGCCTGTTTTCCGGATAGAGGTGACAAATAGCGCTATGTTTATTCCCTGATATATCGAATCTTCTTTTTTCAGCTGCACATCATGTGTGACATAAAACATAAAGATTTGCTGGTGGATACTAATATTAAATCTAAAATCGATGAAAGAAAATGGCAGGTGGTATGGCCAAATGTGGTATTTTTTATATTGGTACACTTGGGGTCACTTCATGGTATTTACTTAATTTTCACAAAAGCTAAATGGCAAACTCTTGTGTTTAGTAAGTATTTTAAGTTTTTGTTCTATAATATAATTTTTTACAAAACATATACCTAAAAATATTTTTAGAAACATATATTTAATTGTTGTAATAATTCAAGGTTTTCAATATTTAAGATTTATTTTATTTAATTAACGACCGAACCGTGCATAAATTATACTTGTCATGTACATTTCTAATATTTGAACTCCAATAGAAGTTATTTTTATTTAATAGGGGGCAAACAAGTAGACGGGTCACCTTATGAGAAGTGACTACCACCGCCCATGAATGCCTTCAACTCAGGAGTCATAAGCGCGGTGCCGGTCTTTAAGAAATGAGTACTCTAGTTTCTTGAAGGTCGTTTCGGTCCGGAAGTTATAAGAAATCTTCTAAATTTTGTACTTAAGAACACACACTTAAGAGTAATTCGAATACAAGGAATTTTGTGGCGAGAGTATTTTAAACTATTAATTTATTCCTGTTTATATCTTTTTTTCAGCCTATTTTATGTATATTGTATCTAACACGGGTATGACAGCCGGTGTACACAGACTTTGGGCACATAAAGCGTACAAAGCGAAGTTACCCCTGAAGATTCTACTCGTACTTATGAGTACAATAGGCTTTCAAGTTAGTATCCAAAACTATACATATAAAATAATGCTTAATGTAATCAACGAAACGGCAGAACTAATCTTAAGAGCACACATAATTTGTCACGTATTTAATTATTTAATAGAAATGTGAACATTTTTCTTCATCTATAAATATAAAATGAACATAAAATTATATATGGATTTTGATACGTCATAAAAGGAAAGTACCTACACTTGATTTTTTCCTTATTAGAGTTTAGTGTAATATTTAAGAGTCTTCAAAACATTTATTTTTCTATTCCTCGGGAACAGTACTTACAAAGTTATCAATAAGATCGTAGTTTATGTATCTTAAATTATAACGCTCACACTCTATTGATGTCATGTTTCATGAATGCTAATACAAATAATATTATGTAGTATGTACTTGTCTCGTATTTGTAGGGCTCAGTACACCAGTGGGTACGCGACCATCGCGTTCACCATAAGTACAGTGAGACTGACGCTGATCCTCACAACGCGACACGTGGATTCTTCTTCTCCCATATTGGTTGGCTGCTAATGAAGAAACACCCGGAGGTCACAGCTAAGGGACACGATATTGATATGAGTGATTTGCGGGCTGATAAGTTAATCTGTTTACAAAAAAAGTAAGTAGGTTAATTAATAAAATTGAACTAATTATAATAATACATAATAAAATAAGATTAACCAACGCGCTTATATTGTTATATTTATTTATTTAAAGATTAACGAGTACGTAAAAGAATATTATTTTTATAAGATACTGTAAAACCACAAGGGTTTGTATTTAGTACCATTATTTCAGTTAGGTTACATCGATACATGAACACTTTCAGGTGTTACGTTTCGATATTTTTAACAAAAAAATATAGTTATAAATAATTACATTTGAGACAAAAAATAAAAATAGGTTGAGATAATTAGGCAGATAAATACATAGTAGATTAAACCATATATTTTTAGTTGTTAAGACAAAATATAAAAAAGTCCTCGGTTTATTTTAAATATTATTCCTTTATCATTAAACTGGCATGTATCTTCGTCTTTAGTTTGTCACTACTAGATGTGGACTAGTTATAAAAAAAGATTCAGACCAATTGAGAACCTCCTCCTTTTTTTGAAGTCGATTAAAAATAGCTCAATACTAATTACCCATCACCTTGTATAAGATATTGATTGCCGGAATGCAGACAAATCTAAGCGTTCAGGAGTTTTTCTGAAACTTATCGTATGCATTTTTACGAACGTCAATTGCTCAATATTAAAGTAATTTAAATTAATAATTTAACAAATACCAACTTATCATTTAGTTAAACTAGGAGTTATTAGTATTTAGAGGAATACGAGTACATATAGAGAAATAATATACTAAACGTATATTATTGATGACCTAAATGTTATAAAATATAAAGGAAAGACAGACTAGATCAGTGTGAAGTACAGTAGTGTAGTGTACGGAGGGCAGCATAAAGGTACTCATTATAAAATTAGTACTTTCTTTCTTTGTTTCAGGTACTATTATCCATTAGTTTTGTTGTTATGCTTCATCACTCCAACTGTTATTCCTCTCTTGTGGGGTGAAGAAATGTGGACCGCCTTTTTCGTTGCTGGAATATTACGATACACATTCTCTTTACACACAATATTTTTGGTTAACTCTCTAGCCCATATGTGGGGAACAAAGCCCTATGATAAACGGATGAAACCAGCAGAAACGAAGTCTGTATCGTTCCTAGCATGTGGAGAAGGTTTTCACAATTACCACCATGTTTTCCCATGGGACTACAAAGCAGCTGAGATGGGTGGATACGCCTTAAATATATCTCGATTATTTATCGATACCATGGCAAAAATTGGTTGGGCTTATGACTTAAAGACGGTAACTGAAGCGACCCTAAAGAGACGTATAATCAGAACTGGTGATGGGACACACCCGAGTTTATTGAAAGAAAATGACTCATTTTAAGAAATAAATACTCTTAAAACTCTATAAAACTTTTTTTTCTATATTGTCTCAAGGGAATGTGACTGCTTTAATAAATAAAAGCGTGTTAAAAAGGTGATGATGACATCACTATCCGTGCGGTGACGGATTAAGAATACAGAGTGTCACCACCCCTATTCATCCCGTGTGTGTAGTAAGGGGCGACTAAGGGAAAAAACTACGCAGAACTACAGCAGCTGCAAAGAGAAGGAAAACTTGACACAAACCCTATACTAACCCTTCTGGCCAGCGTGGTATAGTAGGCCAAATCCTCGTTTCTAAGGAGAGGCTTATGTCCAGCAGTGGACTGCTTTTAACAGCCTTTGCTGTTGATGTGTGATTCTGTTTTTCTGTTACTTCTAATTATAAAAATTATTTATTACTTACACGTATCTAAAGACGTCATTGCTGATGGTAAGCGGTTAATTTCTGTATAAATATTTCAAGTTCAATTTGCATGAATATTAATCACTTGGCATAAGTGTACAAAATGGCGGTTAGGCCCGCAAAGATGGACGGTGCCGAATGTTGGACTGTCAAACAATGACTCGTGCAAAATCTACACACCGCAGAAATGAAAATGTTGAGGCGACGGGAATGAACAGACAGAAAACGAATATATCCGTGGCACTTTTAAGGTGGCTTCAATACATAGCAAGTTAACCGAAAGGAGATTGTAGTAGTACGAACATGTCTCTATATTTTCTGCGATCTGTTTGACCTCTTGATAGGCCACGACTCCCACTTTTGCCGTTACTTGCTGTATGTATTTTGATCTAGGTTTTCCTCGTTTTCCCTTGCCCTCTATTGTTTCTTGCAGTATTGTGAATAATATATTGAATATATGTTTATATTTTGGAATTATTCAATTAACTATTGAGATAATACATAATGCTAACTTTAAAAATTATGCAATGCAATGCAATTATGCATGTTTTTATGGACTTTTTCATTAACGAATCATTCCAAAATTAAATAAAATCAAAATTAAAAATTTGAAAAAAAAAACACACGACGGTTAAAACGTAATCGAAAAAGGTTAAAATAATTAAAAACTGAACCCCCGACTTAAGCAGATTATGTAACAAAAGATAATAAACGTAAAAAGCTTTTTATAATAGAGTTGATCTCTCTTGCGGAGTCGGTCGTATAACTTTGGAGTATCAGTTTTCATAGCACTTCTTTAGGTGCATATTTGTTTCTCGAAGTCTTCACATGTAAGTGCTGACCCTGATAGTTGAAAAGGCGCATCTAACATTTTTTTCCGAATTTAAGTTGTATATATTGGCGGAATCAGGAAAAATGGCGCATATGCCTATTTTTTCTGCCTTGCTTCATTGCAATTTTAGCACAACAAAATAAGGCGCTTATTATTTACAACTTTATGCACTTGTGTACATCGGCGCTCTACTAGCCAACCTTTGGGTGGTGTAGAAGTCTGGTGAGGAAGGTGGACTGAGGTTACTGTTGTTATATTAGTTATATAGTTTTAACTAACATATACAATTACACATATACACACACACACATACATACTCGTACATGCTTATGCATACTTTTTTACACTTTATTGAAGCTGAAAAAACAAATTTATCTAAAGTTAAATGATTAGTCGCATTTACATGAATACGCCCATATTCCTTACGATTTTTTTTTTAAGTTCTGTAATCTAAAAGGCGCTTATTAAACTGCATTTCTAAGACGAAATTAATAAGGTGCATGTAACCATTTTCGCCTAATGCAGTAATTGAAAACTGCTCTCACACTAAGAAAAAACGTCTATACCTGCCACTTGCGCCTTATCTCCTTCGTAAAGTTAGTCTTGACATAAGCGCATTTTTGTCATACTGCTTAATGTAATACCTTACGTTGGGAAAGAAATGATAGTTCGATAGTTTTTTGATCGCAAATATGCAGATACTATATCTTATATATAAAATTCTCGTGTCACAATGTTCGTTCCCGTACTCCTCCGAAACGGCTTGACCGATTCTCATGAAATTTTGTGTGCACATCGGGTAGGTCTGAGAATCGGCCAACATCTATTTTTCTTACCCCTAAATGGTAAGGATGACCCATCCCTAAATTTTTTTTTAGGCAAAGCAACGTTTGCCGGGTCAGCTACTATACTATAAATTACACTAAGCAGTAATATATGCAGTAAGTCTATTTATTGCTTAGAATAATCATTAGTGGTCTTAAACGGAAAACATACAGTAGGTAAATCTATATCCAGGTTAATGAGTCAGATGAAACAATTCTAATATAATTACATGTATTTTCTTCTTAATCTATGATTATCTTCATAGTGTTGAATACTTAAGTAAAGAGGCGCATATAACCAAATGCACATATCTTAAAGTAACGTAAGGAACTTCATAAAGTACAAATACTTAGACTAAAAGTACTCCAAAAAGCGTATGAGATTTAAAAGGTGCATCTGAATATTTGCGTCTATTCAATTAAGAAAGTGGAATTATTTTTTTAAATTTATACTATAATGAAACGGTTTTTGTCATTCTTAATTAAATAATTTAAAAATATTTATGTTTTTATTACTTGATGTCAAAGAATATTAGCATGCCAATAAATTCCAATTTTTAATGTTCAATAATTTACTCAAAGACAGCTAACGATTGCCCATTAAATTTATCAAAATATTTTGTTCTCCATTTTGTCTGTCTTGTGTCAAACGCCTTTTTAACTTTCAGGGGCAGTGTGGCAAATAATAAGTAATATATTCCTACCTATGAAGTTATATACCTATGAACTTAATAAACAACCAAAAAAATATCCGCCGGGGCTGCCATTAAATGAACTAAAGTTTTGCAGTTTTGTAGTAACGTGAATAATTATTGAAGTAGTTTAATGACGACATAATGTAATCCAGGATATCATTTATTTTCAATAAATTATGAACGTCTTTTCAGGCTAGTAAATGGTATTACTATGAGTAAATATGGGTAGATGGAGGTAATAAAAAGCGATAGAAGTGCGTGTACGAATGTGTGGGCTCAGGCGATAAATCGCGTCGCGCGATCGTGATTCATGAGCGTGCCCGGGACGACCCCGGATTATGTGCTGGACTTTTGTTAATTACCCTTGCTATCGCTTTATTTAATACTGTCTGTATTTTTATTTAATTTGCCACATAATTCAACTCACTAATCTTTAAGAAATGTTAATTTAATATTTTATTTTGTGTTCAAATTTCGAAAAATTTATTGAAATGCGTTACATCGGTCTCGCTATGTTAACTTTCTTTCTACGGGTGTCTGGTCCCGTCCTCAGGATCTACAATCTGGCTGTTTTTTTGCAACGAGCCCCTCAAATGACGGCGGTGCTGTCTGTCTTTTTAGGGTTCCGTACCTCAAAAGGTAAAAAAGGAACCCTTATAAGATCACTTTCTTGTCCTTCTGTCCGTGTGTCAATACCGATTTTCTCAGGAACAGGTAGACCTAGCAAGTTGAAATTTATACCAGATACTGAGGTGTATGGTCCCTATTAGGTGTATAAAAATCAAGGTCCAGAAAAAAACATATAGGCAAATTTCGATTTTCGCGGAAACTTGAGAGTACCAAAATTTACCTTAATCTTCGACTTTTTTTATTTTTCAGAATTTTTTCTTTACTGTACTGTAAGAACTTGCTTTTAATCAAAATTGACAATTCTAGATCAACCGGAAGTACCCTATAGGTTTAGGGTCGAAAACCTATATGGTAGTTCCCGTTGACCTAAAATCACCAAATTTGGCAAAAAGAAACGTCTTACAGCACAAATAAAGGAATAATTCCAAAAAATAAGAGAAGTTGAAAATTAAGAAAAATTTTGGTACTTACAAATTTTCGCGAAAATTTACGTAAAATCTGGGTAGGTACGGAACCCTCGGCGCACGAGTTGGACTCGTGCCTAACCGATTTTTTTATTTTCATTTTGATTATTAAAATTTAAATTTGAAATATATTGAAAATTGAAGAAAAAAACATTTTTTTATTATTTATTTATTTATTTTACAACTTTATGCACTTGTGTATATCGGCGGACTTAATGCCCAGGGCATTTTCTACGAGCCAATCTTTGGATGGTGCAGGAATCTGGTGCGGTAGGTGCACTGAGGTTACAGCTGTAATAGTGGCATATATATAGTTTCAACTAACATATACAATGACACATATACATACACACATACTGTCGAAAGCTACATTATCAGCGAGTAACATATTTTCATTTTACAATTTTCATTTTTTTTTAAAGACAACTCCCGCACTATGAATAAATCTTGTGTCGCGGGGGACTCTACAAACATACATGAAGCGGACACAAAGTACACCCAGACTCAGAACAACAATTGTTTGAACCCACAACACTCGGCGTAATAAGAAGCGGCGTGGCGACCGCTTAAACCACTACGCCATCCGTGCAGTCAAATTCATGCAATATAGGCTACTTTTTACCACGAAAACTGACATACACACGAGCGGAGCCGCTGGCAAAAGCTAGTATTTTATAAAGCTGAAGAATTCGTTTGTTTGTTTGTTTGGTTGAACTCGCTAATCTTAGGAACTATTGGACCGAATTAAAAAAATTGTTTATTGTTGGATAGTACATTTATCGAAAAAGGCTATATAATATCACAGTACCACCAACAGGAGCCGATCAATGAAAAATGATGCAAAAACAGGGAAAATTTGGTGGAAAAGGCGTGGTTAGTACTTGGATGGGTGACCGCCTGGGAATACCACGTGATGTTGGCTTTTTGCTCTTTATTTTCGTGTCATCTTGTCAGACATTCAGCGCCATCTATCGAATAGATAGGAAATCATTTCGCAAGGAGATTTTACCAATGTATAAATTGTTTTAATTGTTTTTAATATGTAGGTAATAGCCGCTTTCATAGATGGCGTTGTAATTAAAATCGTGTCAAATCAGTTTTACTAGATCGTCACAACTTCGTTCCTATCGGGTGTCCCACGACAAAACAC